CCCCCACTCTAGAGCCCCCACCCCCAGCTGGAGCTCTCACCCCCTGCACCTTAACCCTCTGCCCCAGCCCTGAGCCCCTCATCCCCGTCCCCACCCCAGAGCCTGCATCCCCTGCCAGAGCCCTCACCCCCCCACACACCTACCAACCCTCTGCCCGAGCTCCTCATCCCCGTCCCCACCCCAGAGCCCACACCCCAACACTCTGCCCCAGCCCTGAGTCCCCTTCCACACTCCGAACACCTTGGCCCCACCCTGCCACATGAATTTTGTTATGCGCACCAATATGGAGGTGATGTGTCACACATCACCTCCATACTAGTGCACATAACAAAATATATTCTGCAAATGAGTGGGAAAAATTAGAGGGAACACTGAGCATGAGGACAGTGTATGTAACTTAACCTTAACAACAATCATAACTTGAAATGTTTCTCCTTTGATAAATTCCATGTTTTCAAATGTACTTGTTTATCACCTTCACAACATTAGCCACTTAAGATATTGCATTGATTCCACCTCTGTTCAAATCCCCATGCCTTAATCTCTTCTCACTGCAACTTCTTTCTTTATAGCCTTTCTGAATCCTAGCTCTCCAGGGTGCAGCATGTGTGGAACGTTTCTATCCATAACTACATCATCCCCATCTTCAAACAATTCCACTGGCTCCCCAATAATATCAAGCATTAGATCAAAATTGTCCCCTTGTTTTAAAACTCCATAAACTCACTCCACCCAATAGCACAGGTCAAGTCTCTCTAATCCCCAACCCACTTACTCCAGCCTCCTCTGCCTCTCCATGCAATCTGGTTAGGGTTGGCACAAGTCTCATCTTTCTTTGCAGTTGCTGCACTGTGAGATAGCATTTCTTTATCTCCAATTCACCAACACTTCTCTTTGTGTGTTAAACTCTAAGGTATTATTTGTAGTGACTTTGCAAAATGCTTTTGGATTCTATTTACATAGGTGTGTGAACTAGACGTGTGGGGGGTGCTGCAGCACCCCCAGGCTTTATGTGGGGCTCTGCTTCTGCCTCCCCCCCCCCAACACACACATGCAGGGTCCTGGCTGCCAGCCCTGCTCCAGGGGCTCTGCTTCCAGGATCCTGGCTGCCAGCCCTGCATCCTGAGGCTCTGCTCCTGGACCCGTGCTCGCCCCCAGCTGTAGCTCCAGCCTCATCCCCCTTACCTCTGTCCGCGTCCCCCCCTCCTGGAGACACAGCCCTGCTCCTGGCCCCAGCTCAGGGTGGGGGATGGACAGGGGCAAGGGGGCTGGCTTTCAGCACCCCCACTATTAAAAGTGTTCCAGTGCCACTGACTATTTATATGAAAGACATTATATAAAAATATCCTATGTATTTTACTGCATAGTGTTAAACCAACTATCCCTTTGTACAATGATGATAATGTATTTTCTATGAGGACAAAATTTATAAATTATATCAATTTATTAAAAATTTACCTTTCTTGCATCTATGTTTACCAGTTTTGATAAGAGCTGTGATGCTGCTCAGAAATTATCTGACACTGTGGCCATAGCAATTAAGGCACTGGTTCTTACCTTTATGTATAATTATTCACATGAGTTATTGGGAATAAGTTCATACATAACAGCATGATCCCATACTCAAATCCTGTACAAAAGGTGAAGAGCTGCATTCATGACAAAATCTCAATTAGGTATGAGCATAAGAACATAGAAGATAAGAACAGCCATACTGGGTCAGACCTAAGGTTCATCTAGCCAAGTATCCTGTCTTCTGACAGTGGCCAATGCCAGGTGCCCTAGAGGGAATGAACATAACAGGTAATCATCAAGTGATCCATTCCCAGCTTCTGGCAAACAGAGGCTAGGGACACCATCCCTGCCCATCCTGGCTAATAGACACTGATAGACCTATCCTCCATAAATTTATCTAGTTCTTTTTTGAACCCTGTTATAGCCTTGGCCTTACAACATCCTCTGGCAAGGAGTTCCACAGGTTGACTGTCCATTGTGTGAAAAAATACTTCTGTCTGTTTGTTTTAAACCTGCTGCCTATTAATTTCATTTGGTGACCCCTAGTTCTTGTGTTATGAGGAGGAGAAATAACACTTCCTTATTTACTTTCTCCACACCAGTCATGATTTTATAGACCTCTATCATATCCCCCCTTAGTCGTCTCTTTTCCAAGGTGAAAAGTCCCAGTCTTATTCATCTCTGCTCATATGGCAGATGTTCCATACCCCTAATCATTTTTGTTGCCCTTTTCTGAACCTTTTCCAATTCCAAGATATCTTTTTTGAGATGGGGCAACCACATCTGCATGGAGTATTCAAGATGTGGGCGTACCACGAATTTATATAGAGGCAATATATTTTCTGTTTTACTATCGATCCCTTTCTTAATGATTCCCAGCATTCTATTCGCTTTTTTGACTACCAGAGAATGAAGCACAAATGATAAATCACAAAAAAACTGTGTATTTTAAAACAAAGACCCTGCTTAAGAATTCTGCTTATGCTTGTCTGTATGAGTTCCCAAAATTTCTCATCCCAATAGGAATTTCAAGAACCCATCCTCAGCTATTACTTGTTTTATTTTTTTAAATAAAGTGATAATGGGCCAGATTCCCAGCTTGTGTAAATCATCACAGCTCTGTCAATATAAATATAAAAAAGCCCATTAAAATGCAGTGTTATGCTAGCACTTAAATCAGAAAAAAAAAAGTTACCTGTTTCATGTCAATTTTATTTATTTTAGAACCCTATCCTGTTAAAGTTAGTCAGTAGCAACCAGCAGTTTGCCCCAGTCTCATCAATAATATTGTACCAACACCTGCCTTCTCATCAAACTAGGAAGGCTATAGGATTCTATCCACAGAAATATGATGACCTGGGAAAAATAAAACACATTTAACTAGCCTAAATGCTAAATGTATTCTCTCTTCTTTACCATTTCTTCATTCACCCCCAATTTTTTTGTCTATTCCATTTTCTTTTTCTCACTGTTTCTCTCTTTATTACAAATAAAAACAAAACAAAACAAGAAACCTTACAAGGCAGAGCAGAATCCCATTATGTTCTGCTCTATGCCCCTTTTCCCCACATTCAGTTCCTCTTCTATGCTCTACCTTCCTTTGTTTTTCCTCCCAATTGTTTTTACCAAGTGTGGTGTTAGTCCATCCTGCCTTCCTTATCAGCTTTCATTACTTAGCCATCTCTCTTTTTTATTCTTCTTTACTGGTCATCCCAAAATTATAGTTAAGGCAGGCTGACCAGAACCATTTCAAGAATAAGTATGCTGCTCCAAAATATCTGTTGTGGGATATTTCAATCCTTGTATAACTGTTTATCATTGTTTTAAAAAGTGGTTCACATTACACTAGCAACAGGAATTTAACTTTGTTCTGTAGCAATAAGACAAAATACACATGGATTGATGCCTACAGTTAGGCACTTAAATCCACATTTAAAATATCTAAAGAACAGGCCTGATTTTCAGAGGTGCTGAAAATCCATTACTCTTACTGACATTTGAAACTTTTAGCCACAGTGAAGAGAAGTATTTATTAAGTACTGGACAGCTTAAAGAAAATGTATGCAGCGAAAGCTCTCTTAAGGTGAAACAACGTTGTGTTAACATAATACTATTCTAGTATTCCAAATACAGATGTGCTTGTATGCTGTTAAATGTAATACCATGGAAAACTGGACAATACAATTAACAATATTTAAACACACCACTTACTAATCAGAAAAAGATAATATTTGAGCAATAAATACTGAAGTATCACAAAAATCTGGGTTTTCAAAAAAGGCTATGTAGAACAAACAAATAAAAAACCCACTGATTTAAAAAGGACTAAAAGTGATCCTATAGAAATGGCTCACTACATTTATTCAGATCTCCCGGAATTGGAGACATTCATTGATCTCACACAGTCTGAAGCTTATTGTTTTAATAAACTGAAGTTGAAAAATGGCATTCTTCTAATAGCTGTTATGAAAAATTCCAGTAGACAGTAAAAGTACAAATAAGTTCAAAACTTAAGAACTGGATAAGTAGAATAACTCTAGTTAATATTCCATTTAGGATAATCAGTATTTGTTTTTTTCTTTAATCCAGTTTATTGGATTTCTCTATATATAATTTCCTTGTTTTTTTCCAGAAAATAATAACTCCAATGCTGTTTTTTCAACTACTTTATAGAATTTTTTAAAACTAGTTTTCATTGCTCGCGAAAGATTCATAGACTCATAGACTTTAAGGTCAGAAGGGACCATTATGATCAACTAGTCTGACCTCCCGCATGATGCAGGCCACAAAGCCATCCCAACCCCTTTCCCTTGACTCTGCCGTTGAAGTCCCCAAATCCTGTGGTTTAGAGACTTCAAGTAGCAGAGAATCCTCCAGCTAGCGACCCCTGCCCCATGCTGCGGAGGAAGGTCGAAAAACCTCCAGGGACTCTGCCAATCTACCCTGGAGGAAAATTCCTTTCCGACCCCAAATATGGCGATCAGTAGAACCCCGAGCATGTAGGCAAGATTCTCCAGCCAGACCCTCATTGGCCATTGATACTATTTACCAGCAATGGCACGCTGTTCATTTGACTAAAATCATGTTATCCCATTAAACCATTCCCTCCATAAACTTATCTAGCTTAATCTTAAAGCCAGACAGGTCCTTCGCCCCCACCGTTTCCCTCGGAAGGCTGTTCCAATATTTCACCCCTCTGACAGTTAGAAACCTTCGTCTAATTTCAAGCCTAAACTTGCTGATAGCTCTGGAGAATAAAGTGCTGTATTCAGCCAGCAGGCATGATAAAGTAGCAATGTTCTTATATTTCTGGTTCAACATTTCTGAACCTTGGAAATCAAGTGAAATGTTCACTAACATAAGGAAACATGAAAGGGGACAGGAGAAAAAATATTAAGAATCCATTAATGTAAAAGACAAAGTTTACACAAAGCTCATTTCTGGACTGCCATCTTTAGCACTAGCTCACTTGAGAGCCTTGTTTCCTTCTCCAGAATTTGTGAGATTTTCAGAACTCTATTAAAAACATGCCATAGGCTATACAGCGTGCTTTAATGTTTCTTCCGAAAGCATCTTTAGAAGTAGCCTTCTACTGATCAAAATAGATCTGCTGAAATAATCTTACCATTATTGATGAATAATTCTGCAAGCTGCTCCTTGGAGAAATCAGCATCCACGTCAACTTTAACAATTTCACAGGTGAATCCAGCAGCCATTTGCTTTTTCTGTGTTGAAAATTCACAGGTTTAGGGAAGCTTTACATTCTCTTTCTAGAATTATTTATTTTGTATGCTTGTTTAATACCTTCATACAGAGTGCTATCTGATGTGCTATGTAGTCTTGCAAACTTCCTTCTGGACCATGAAAGATGACATTATGGTATTGTTCAACCTACACATAAACAAAGTAAACTTTACATGAATATTCACAGACCTGGATATTTTTAATCCAAACAAAACAACCAAAACCCAAGGGGTTAGGTATATGTGGAATTTTCCACTTCACAATCATGAGGAGGAGGGATAGCGCATTGGCCTGAGTATTGGCCTGCTAAACCCAGGGTTGAGAGTTCAATCCTTGAGGGGCCATTTAGTGATCTGGGGCAAAAATCTGTCTGGGGATTGGTCCTGCTTTGAGCAGGGGGTTGGACTAGATGACCTCCTGAGGTCCCTTCCAACACTGATAGTCTATGATAGTGTATGAAACTTATGCACCTTATAATACAGTGTTCTACATGTGCAGTATTGGTGTGTTGCAGCTTTTAAAGAGAGATTTTTACATAGAAATAACATGGGATTGTTCTTAATTTATAAAACTATGCGAAAACATTCTTTTGTCCCATCAATGGTTGAATTTGACACTCCCAGACAATAGGGACAGGTTACAGTTAACAATTAAATCCAATGACATAGAGTGGGCAGAATTTACAAGAGAACACTTCAAACCCAAATTATTCTATAAAAACCATCAACATTTAAGTTTTCGCCACATTTATTTTAAGTTGAGGCAAAAACTACTCCTCAAACTCTAAATATATAATTTATACTAACAATATAGGAACCCAGTGTCATAATATTTAGAACCGGTCTGCCTAAACTGATTTAATTTGACCTCTTGGATTATAAAAAGCATGCTGAAGAGGCAAAGAGATACCTGCTCTACCAGTGTGAAAAGTAAACCAAATATCCCACATTCATATTTAAAGGTAGCTGCTTTGGGTTTACTACCTATTATCTAAATTCATCAGTATCTCTTATTTAAGAACAGGAATTTTTTTCACTGTATAACCATCTTGCTACTTTTATGTAACCAATGGCCGGGAACAGCGAACAGCAGCCACTGGGAGCTTCCAGTGGATTACCCTGATGGGCTGCATGCTGAAGGTTGCTGACCCCTGATCCATACTATTATAATGCACACATTTAAAAAAAATATTTCCAGTTCTCTATGATTATTTTACTTCAACGTGTTTTAATTTTTTTTAACTGAATGACAAAGCTACAGCTTTATCTCTAATTGAAACTCACAAATGCACTGTATAATGTTCTGGAGAACTAAAACCCATTTCAAATCAAAATTACTTGTGGGCCTTCACTTTGTAAAATGATATTAGCTTAGTGCTCATGTGTAATTAACTGTCAAGGGAGCACAGTTAAACTACTGGGTAATTGTCAGACTCCTGCAAACAGCTGAGATCTAAGGCACACATTGTTTACGTAATTTACCAGCAGAGGGCTCTGGAGGTATTTTTTTACTTGGGTTTTAATTATGTTTAAACTGGCTCTATCGCTATGAAAACAATGATGTCCAAAAGCTAATTTACCCAGATTTGCTTTCTCATCAGTTTTCATACACCAAATAACTTGTGTAACAAAAAATGATATTTTTTTATACAAATAAAGCTGCTGCTCAGTAAGGAATAGGGTTGGTTTCTTTATTAATGGTTGATATGAACCAACTTTAATTTTGTTTCCTCTTTAAAGTTGCTAATAATCACCTGCATATTACATTTCAATAAATCAATCAATTGGTAGCTAGTAAAAATGAATTTAATTACTTCATTTCCATGCTTACAATTTATTTTTTATGTGACAGAAAATTAGGGATTGAAGGAAAAATGTCCTTTTGAAAAGAGAAAACGTTATTTTAAGTGTTGTCCATACAGTACATGCTGGAGTTTTAAAAAATATCTTTTAACTATAATACGACTCCCCTGCATACTTTGCTCCCCCTGTTCCCCACAAAGACAAATCAGAACAGTCCTGTGAATCCTAAAAAGGTGCATGGAAATTATAAAGTACTAGTGGAAAAATGTCAACATTTTTGACTGTCAGGTTTTTTGATGTCCAGAGAACAAGTTAGGGCCATTTTGAAAGAAATAATGAGTTACATAGTTTTTCATGAACCAACGGATTGATTAATTCAGTTCAATGTCTCATACTTTTCAGCCAAACATTCACTTCATCCCATCAGAAATCTCAAGCATCCCACTTCACAGTAATATAATCTATACCTTACCATATGTACTGCACTAAACAAAAACAAACAAAATACTAGCATTAAAAGACAGCTACCTTTTTTCGTAACTGGTGTTCTTCGAGATGTGTTGCTCATGTCCATTCCATATTAGGTGTGTGTGCTCGCCACATGCACCATGCCAGAAGTTTTTCCCTTAGCAATATCCGATGGGGACCAGCTCTGGTGCCCTCTGCAGTGGTGCCCGCATGGCCTGGTATAAGGGGTGCCACTGGCTCCCCCCACCCTCAGTTCCTTCTTGCCGGAAACTCTGACAGTGGAGAAGGAGGGAGAGTTGTGGAATGGACATGAGCAACACATCTCAAAGAACACCAGTTACGGAAAAGGTAACTGTCTTTTCTTCTTCGAGTGCTTGCTCATGTCCATTCCATATTAAGTGACTCCAAAGCAGTACCCATGGAGGTGGGTAGGAGTTCACGGATGTGTAGGTTGCAATACAGCTCTGCTGACCCCAGTGTTATCCCTGGACTTCTGAGTGATGGCATAATGGGCCATTAACGTGTAGACAGAGAACCACGTTGTGGCTCTACAGATATCCTGGATAGGTATGTGTGCCAGGAAGGCCGCTGAAGATGCTTGTGCTCTAGTTGAGTGGGCTCTGACAATCGGCAGCAGTGGAACCCCCGCCAGGTCTAACACGAGGTTAAACCAATTGGAAATCCTCTGTGAGGACACCAGAAGGCCCTTCATCCTATCCGCTGTAGCGATGAAGAGCTGAGTTGATTTACAGAAAGGCTTGGTACATTCCAAGTAAAAAGCCAAGGCCCTTCAGACGTCCAACACATGAAGATGCCTCTCCTCATTGGTCTTGTGCGGTTTAGGACAGAACATCAGGATATGGAAGGTAGACACCACCTTTGACAGGAGGGCCGGGTGGGACCGCAGCTGAACCCCGTCTTTGTAGAAGACCGTGTCCAGGTGGTTCCGAGGTCAAGGCTTTAATTTCAGAAACTCATCTCGCTGATGTCACCACCACCAGGAATGCGACCTTCCATGACAGGTGGAAAAGGAAGCAGGAACCCAGCGGCTCAAAGGGCGGGCCTGTGAGCCTAGAGAGGACAAAGTTAAGATCCCACTGTGGAACAGGAGTCCATACTTAGGGAAAAAGTCTCTCGAGCCCTTTAAAGAATCTGACAGTCATGTCATGGGAAAACACCGTCTGTCCTTGGATTGGCGGGCGAAAAGCGGAGATGACCGCGAGATGCACTCTAATGGAAGAGTGTGCCAGGCCCTGGTTCCTCAAATGAAGTAGGTAATCTAGGACAGCCTCTATGGAAGAACGCGAGGGAGAGATGCCACGCTCGGACGCCCAGCAGGAAAACCTCATCCACTTGGCCATGTAAGTCAGTCTAGTTGAGGGCTTCCTATTTTGCAGGAGGACCTGTTGGACCTCCTCTGAACAGGTCCGCTCTTCCGGGTTCAGCCACACAGCATCCACGCTGAGAGGTGGAGGGACACAAGGTTGGGATGTAAGAGCCGACCATGATCCTGTTACTGCAGGTCCAGTTAGTTGGGCAGGGGACAGGGGAGGGCTGCTGACAGGTTCATGAATGTGCCGAACCAGAGCTGGCAAGGCCACGCCGGGGCGATCAAGAGAGACAGGGCATGAGTTAGCATGATCTTTGCCAGGATCTTGGCGATGAGTGGGATCGGAGGGAACATGTACATCTGGCCCCCTGACCATGACAGGAGGAAGGCGTTGGAGAAGGAGTCCTTGCCCAGACCTTGCCGAGAGCAAAACAAATGACATTTTCTGTTTTGCCTGGTGGCGAACAAGTCCACTTGAGGAGTTCCCCACCTCTGGAAGACCATGTAGGCTACATCGCAATGGAGCGACCACTCGTGGTGAGAGGAGAAGGCCCTGCTGAGGTGATCCGCTAGCGTGCTCTTGACGCCAGGTGGATCTCATGGTCGATGCAGAAGTTCCAGAGCCGGAGAGCCTCCTGGCAGAGAGCCGATGATTGCGCTCCCCCTTGCCTGTTGATGAACAGCATCAAGGCTGTGTTGTTCGTCAGGACTCTCACCATCTTGCCTAAAAGGTGAGGTAGGAAGACACCACACGCCAATCGGACCACTCTGAGTTCTTTGACATTTATGTGGAGTGCCATCTCCTCCAGGGACCACATATCCTGGATCTGAAGAGCTCCGAGGTGCACACCTCAGCCAAGGTCCGGGGCGTCTGACACCAACTCGATGGAGTGAGGGGGGCTGTCGAACAGAACTCCCTCAAGGACCTTCTCACAGCGAAGTGAGTACTGCTGGGGGAATGGTCATAATTTTTTCCAGGTGATCCCCGGACTAGAATAGGATAGTCGTCAGCTATTGCTGCAGGGGCCGCATGAGGAGCCTGGCATGGTGAATAACGTATGTGCAAGCTGCCACGTGGCCCAGCAGACGCAGGCAGACCCTGGCTGTAGTCAGGGGAAACGCAGACACCTTCACGATGAGGTCTGTCAAGGCCTGAAACCTTTCAAGCGGTAGGAACGCTCTCGTGCAGGTTGAGTCGAGCACAGCTTCGATGAATTCTATCATTTATACTGGAACTAACGTGGACTTTTTGTTGTTCACCAGTAGGCCCAGGGAGAGGCAAGTGGCTTGCAGCACCACAATGTCCCTTTGGACCGGAGACCTGGAGCTGCCCTTGACCAGCCAGTTGTCGAGGTATGGATAGATGAAAGAATGTGTCCTTTAAGTCGAGGGTGGCATACCAGTCTCCCGGATCCAGGGAGGGGATGATAGAGGCCAGGGAGACCATGCGGAACTTCAGTTTCTTTAGGTACTTGTTGAGGTCTCGCAAGTCCAGAATGGGGCGTAGACCGCCTTGGGATTAAAAAGTATTGGGAATAAAATCCCCT